TTCTGGCGTACCCAAGGGACGAATTGCAGCGCCTTAGACAACTGGGCCACCCGTGCCCCCCTAATGCCATTCAAAGCAGCATTAAACCCAATTCACTCACTCACTCAACATTCCTCGCACCAGTTTCAGTAACTTCAATAATGCAGCCATCTTGTGTTTTCTAGTTTGTTTTGGTATGTGGTGTTCTATATTTAGAATGTATTCAAAATCAAATTCATACTGAACACTTAACTAAAGCATCTCATAATGGCAACCATGCCCTGTGAGTTCAGATACTGCCACATCAACTGTGACTTTTTATTCTCAACATTTTCTTGAATTCCTAAACATTTACACTGAAACACTGCATATTGAATTCTGACCTTGAATCTGGTATGTCATGTGGCTAGGCAAGATTTCCCACGTGGTCATAAATATATTGCATCGTGTCCAAGATATAATGACTACCAGTTGCAAAAAAAACTGAATAAAAACCCAGAGCACTTACTGAAATTATGTACAGACCGTACAGTATGTACAGTATGACATGCAACTGAATTAGCGGCAATTCAAAGATCAGTCTCAAACCACAAATAATATACTACTCACAAGAATCGTTTGACAGGCATTTCTTACAAGTCGATTGATGACAAAGTGCACCAAAGTTTATGAATAACGACAATGCAATTGTTGCTTGAAAACAGTATAAGGATCTATACTGAAACACTATTACAGTATAATAAGGAGTTGTTATCAATAAAGTTTGTCTACTTTTTTACTCAAAAGAAGTTAAAGAAGTCATAAGACTGAAGTGAATCTGTCATGGCCATGATAAACATTGTTCCATACAAAACACGACCAATAATATTAAACGTCCATGCCACAGAGTAACCTGTCTAGATCGGATCATCCGACAAAACACATTCCATTGGGTGCAATAGGTATAATAGCAGTGAAAAATGAATATGATAACCCTGCCACACACAAAATACAAAAGACACACGATATAAACTCTATTAATAAAACTCTTCAGTCGAATGAATGTTTATGGCAGACTTTTTTAAAAATATTGAACTGGAACCACCAACACCACAGACTCTCATCTACATAAACCCAGAGAAAACAGTGCAGAACCCTTCTCCAAACTGTAGTCTTCAGCATCGGCCATATTTACTGGTTCCACGATATGAGGTTTTTTCGAAGGCCACCTGTTTGTCTATGATAGGCTCTTAACCTTGCACTGATGTTTTATGGATATTTGATCCCCCAGACAGAAACACATGGAGAAAGGAGGGAACAGCCTTGCAGACATTCATGCAAATCTACTCAAATGAAGCCTTGGGTGTACGAGATTACACGTAGACACACTTAAAGATCATGTCGACTGGGCTTTTTGTGTAGCTACAACTACATGATCTCGCACTGACAGCGATTCAAATGAATAGCTGGTTAAGTGTGTGCCTTGTCAAATTGGAAAATCTTTTTCACAATACGATATGAAAAGAAAAAGATTAAAGAGAAAAGAGTTGTTTAAAAAGGAGAATCAAATGTATTTTGGGAAGCGTGAAATCACTGAATTATTGTGGCAGTGGTATCCAATGAGCCACTTAAATAGGGCCAGTCTCCGTTACATACCCCAGAGCATATATTTCATAAAACATTACCCTCATTGCATTCTCATCCTCTTCTCAGCACTAGCAGCCTATACTCATCCCCTTCTCAGCTCTAGCAGCCTATACACATCCCTTTCTCAGCTCTAGCAGCCTACACACATCCCCTTCTCAGCTCTAGCAGCCTATACTCATCCCCTTCTCAGCTCTAGCAGCCTATACTCATCCCCTTCTCAGCTCTAGCAGCCTATACTCATCCCCTTCTCAGCTCTAGCAGCCTATACTCATCCCCTTCTCAGCTCTAGCAGCCTATACTCAACTTTATTTCAGGGCTGTATGTCAGTGCTGCAGGGTGTATGTTACATGGTGTGTGCTCCTTGAATCACATGTAGGTCGAGACCTAGTTACTAGTGCCCATGTGAGACTGAGATGGTGATGGTATGTAATCATGGTAACGATTAACAGCTGCATTGATAGACATTAAATAAAGTGAGGTTTGACTGACTTGAATAAAAACTTTCTAGGCTAGCAACTTGTCCAGGTTCATTCTCTATGAGTGAGTGAGTGAGTGAGTGAGTGAGTGAGTGAGTGAGTGAGTGAGTGAGTGAGTGAGTGAGTGAGTGTTTAAGGAGCATACATTTAGACGTTTTCAAATGATACACTTGGAAGCAAAAACACACTGAACATTCAGTCTCCATTCTATTCATTCTGAGCTACTCCCATCACCTCGGTTGCAAGAATTTCTCCTCAATGTGGGTTTTCTTTCAAAATAAAATGCTTCAAATGAAGAGACATTGCCTTTTGAACCAGTTAAATGCTGTATCCAATTGCAGAGCATGTTTATTTTGTCAAAGTGATAATTATTGCTGGTAGCTGTTATAACAAATGTCAGAACGATGCAAGTTGCTATGACAACAGCGCTAACAATATGAACAATGTTCAACAATACCAAGAAGAATGGCAGGAATTGTTGTCAAGTTGAAAAACCACCAGTGACCTGCCATCCCAGGGATGGTGATGTATTTGTACCTAGCTGGAGCGCTGAGCTGTTTACATAACTCTTTCAGAGGAAGCCATGACAAGTTAAAGAAGACATGATCTTGTTTGCCAAAGAGTTATCAACACTTACATGGTTGCAGATATATTTAACCAAAAAGTAAATACTTAATATACTGAACATTTAAGTTAGGGATCATGAATATTTTTTAGATATGTTTTTGAAGTGAAGACTGAGCACACAATTTCATAAAAATATGAACAAATATATTCAAGGTATTTTTTTGGTTCAGTATGCAAAAGAGTCGAAATCATTTGCTTGTTACAATCAACACATTCACTGCACTGGCATCAGACTATATTAACTCAAACATTCATTGCATACGACAAATGAATAATGAGTTATATCCTACAAAATTATGCAAAACATACTTTACAGACTTTAGTCAAATTCATTTTTTTCTGAACACTAACTCGTGACAGAGCATGAAATATGTACTTTACTAAGAAGAAAGTAAATATTAAAACAACTTGTACTGGAAAAGCCAACAAAGAAAAAATGATCAAAGGTGTTCATAAGAGTACTGAACATGTAATTGCCTAAATCTAGTTGACTCATGCTTAGTCTCTGAAAATATATAGTGAGTGAGTGAGTATGGTTTTACGCCGCTTTGAGCAATATTCCAGCAATATCACGGCGGGGGACACCAGAAATGGGCTTCACACATTGTAACCATGTCGGGAATCTTCGGCGTGACGAGTGAACGCTTTAACCACTAGGCTACCCGACCGCCCTGAAAATATATAACAAGCAACTAAATTTAAATTGAAAAGGTGCCCCAGATGAGAGTTCCTGAACCTGTGGAAAATCTAGACTTGCTTCAGTTAGTATATACCAGTAGCATTACAGTAAGGGCTGTAATATGGTTCAAGGGTTGTGAGACAGACTAAAATGTGAGGGCAGTGAGAAGTTTAAGCTTTGATTTTGATTTGAATTTCCTGGCTATTCTGTCAGTAGTAAAAAAACAACAGAAAATTTAACAACTTTTGAAATAGTTTAAATATGGCCATTATTTATTTCAGTGAACTTTTACACTATAAAAAATCAGCCATCAAAGCAATATAAGTATTTGTGAAATTATATCATAAATATTCAACCTGTCTTTTTTCATAAACTGTTTGATCTTACCTAAGTTTACATATTCTGAATTTTAATAAAACAGGTTGCATAGCAATTTTTTGTTCTCATATCTAGACAAGTTGATTTTTCAACTGTCTTAAAATTTTCAAACAAGTACTACTCACATAAATATTTTACACCATCCATCAACATTTAATTCTAATGAAAACAATAGAAACATAAATGAAACAATGAGCTTAACAATTAGTCGTGTGTGTTTACAAACCAAGCACATACGTCCCATCACAAGGAAATAACAAAACATAGTGTTCTTTGAACCCACCAAATGGTAACAGCCACAACCTCACCTGTGTAAATAGGCTGAAGAAAAATTCAAACTACCTGTCTGGCTGTCGACATAGCTTACTATGAGAAGATATCTATTTCCCCTGTTTTGTGATTGGGGTGTGATACTTGCTTATGTACATCTGAGATTATGCATTTCCTCGCTATCATGGTATTTATATATACCCAGCACATGACAGTCATTTGGGAGTTGGGGGTTGAGGGTTTATGAGAAACATGTCAGACAGTACATACACAAAGTATCCTTTGAAATGTCAACAATTTACAAGTACATGATAATATATTGTTAAAGGTGGGTTGATCTCCAGAATTCAGACAAGGACAGCCTCTATCTGTTACCATTAATCCTCTGTGTCTGGTTTCACATGGGGCACTAATCAGACAGTCTGACCTTTTGCCCAACAATGGCGTTTTGCAGAATTTTGTTTTCATCTTCCAATGTTGGTGGCCGGAAAAAGAATACACTAAAAATTATCTTCAAATGAATATTTTCCCACCTAACAACACTGCAACCAGATATGTCATATCAAAAGCCTTTGAGGTAATAACTCTTATCAGTCTACAATATTTCTAACTTTTTTTTTCTTTTTTTCATGTCAGCGGATCTGTAAACCAAACAAATATAACAATCGCCTTTGAGGAAATATATTTTATTGTTGACAAAAGAAGAAGAAATGTTAATAATTACTGTAGAACCACAACATCCTACCCATAAGGCCAATATACATACTAAGGCTAAATAATATATCCATATTCTAATTGATTGATATGAACTATCACTCTGTAAATATCGCTGTATTTCAACAAAAATACAACCCATACCAGCCCATATGTTTAGAAAATTTGAAAATATCAAAATCAGAAGGTACATTTTCAATAGAATTCTATGAAGCAAATTAAAAACTAATGACATGTTTATCTATTTTCAGACTGTGCCACTGTGTATGCTCAGGGTATCAAGAAGAGTGGTGTGTACTACATCAAGCCAACCTGTGCAGCGTGCCCGGTACCAGTCTGGTGTGATATGGACACGCCCCCTGGTGGCTGGCTCGTCATACAGCGCCGCAAAGATGGCAGCACCTCCTTCAACCGCAACTGGCAGCAGTACAAGCAAGGCTTCGGAGATGTTTCTCAGGAACACTGGATGGGCAATGACAACCTCTTTCTCATCTCAAACCAAGACCATTACGAACTCAGAGTTGACTTATGGGACTTCGAAGGAAACCGTGTGTACGCCATCTATCGCACTTTCAAAATCGATGGTGAGAGGGACAAGTATCGGCTTCATATTCATAATCACGCCGGCAGTGTTAAAGACAGTCTGTACCGCCATAATCGCATGATGTTCAGTACATATGATCAGGACAATGACGCTCGTCATGAAGCTCACTGTGCCCGTGAGTGGGAGGGGGGATGGTGGTACAATAACTGCTGGTTTGCCCTTCTTAACGGACCCCACCATAATCAGTCGAATGTGCCATGGCGGGGCATGGCATGGAACCACTGGAAACGGGAACAGCTCGCTCGGACTGAGATGAAGATTCGCCCTTCAGACTGAGTTGATATTTGGGTCAAGGTCACTGTCAGCCTTTGCTTGCTCGAACTGTGATGTTTGGCCAACAGATTGAGTTGACCTTTGACTCAAGGTCGCTGTCATCCTTCACTTGCTTGGACCGAGATGAAGATCTGCCTTACAGAATGAGATGACCTTTAGTTCAAGGTCACTGTCATCCTTTGCTCGCTTGGTCTGAGATGAAGACTCACCCAATATTGAGTTGACCTTCAGCTGAAGGTCACTGTCATCCTTCTCAACACTGTGGAGTTCAGATTTCACTACATCAAGGCAGTGATCTCCAAAGTCTGACAATTGGACAGCTTCATTTCCAACATTTCCTCTCCTGGAGTCCAACAGTCCACAGACTTGTTCTAACCAAGATGCGGATATCACTACTGTGACTAAAACACTCGGGTTTCTCTACCACTCTGATCCTTCAAATACTATCTACTCAACAGCAAACTCAATGACTGTCTACTCAACCACAAACTCCAGCAAAAACCAGCAAAGACAAAGACTCCATGGACATGAATCTGTCCAAACAAGAACCCAAGCAACATTGATACATCCCTTCTCACGTGGTATTCTACAAGTTATGGCTGCTGTATCCAGCTGCTGCAACTCTTGGAAAAGTGGTAATACATTCACAATCCAAGCTAATGTTTCATCAATCTCAGGCGAAACAAACTCCTATGGTGCTGACTCTCTACTTCTCATGGTAGCATTCATCAGGAACACTGGCCTTCATTATTTTTTACCTACACCAGAGGTGTCAGGGAACAACAGTCCAGGGTCCTGTCCCACAGAGCAATCTTATCGTATGCCTGTTACAATCATCTTAGCGCTAAGATTGTTTGTGGAACGGAGCCCAGCATGCATGAAGATTGTGCATGATAACCATCTTGCACAATCTCATTAAAATAAGAACTTTAACTCTGTTACGATAACTCGCTGTGTGAATCCTCCATAGGTAATCACATCAGGTTAACCCTTTGCAAACATTGACATCTCAATAACAAACAAAATCTGGGATTTCTTGAGACAATTAGAAATCAGCATCCTAAAATTAATTGGCTTCACTTCTTTGCCACGTCAATTTGGAAATATATATCTTATCGTAAGAAAACATATACAGGACACACACTAACCTTTGACAGTACACCCTTTTTGAGAGTTGAGTCCATGGCAGTTAGAAACGACAGGGTGTTTAAACTCTCCACAAGAACATGCCCATTAATGTTCAGTATTTTAGATACAGAAAATAGATATGCAGCTCGGAATCCTTTGTTTTCTTGTACCGAGAACGTAGAAGCTTCAATGCTGATTGGCTGATGAGAAAGTTCACCTGAAGATGAACTCCCACGGAAGGTCAAATCTTCACACACAGAGGTATCATATCAGAGTAAAAGATAATTATTTTCATTGCTTCAATTATTATTTTAAAATTTGGAGGCATCAATTTTACAAAATTAATTCATTTCTTTATTGAGCAATTCATTTCTCTATCTAGGTTTGTTTCCATAAATATCCCAGACCCCTGTAAAGATAAAATGGTTTGGTCCCTCTCTGTCAGTGGTTTGCCTGAAGTTCCCTTATACTTACCTATGTCTGTGATGATTATGACTTTTGTCAAAGGTCATGCAAGGGTCAGTTTTATGCAATGAAGTTTTATATTTGTTTCCATCTTTACTTCTCTACCGGTGACCAGGAGAGTACAAACATGTTTAAATGCTACAAGACGTATAACAATTATAACAATGCATGGTGCAAGAAAGATGGAGAGAACAAAATAAAACACACACGGTTCATCTCACTGATGAGAGCTAACAAACACCCACGTCCCACAGCATTCAAATAAGAGAGACAGGATGTTTGAGTTTTTTTAACTTGCTAGACTTCTGAAAATGGTTGGCTGATAACTTTGAAAGATAAGAGATCTCACAAAAAGTGTACAGAGGAATTGGCTTTTGTCTTATCGCATTTAGTTACATGTACACGTTCATGGGAACAACTATGAAGGTTTGTCACTCTCTTGTTGAAACAAACCTGATTCTGGCAAGACTGGATGAATAATCTAAGTATCATTGACCCTTTTACATTTATATTTAGGAGAGGTTTTTTAATTCAACTGATGCAAACTTACACCAAAAAAATATTGCACTTAAAACAGGTTAAACTGCAAGACAATTGGATGCAATATGTTAATCGACAAAACAAATTTATCTAACACTGCACACATGGGAACAGATTCAGATAAGTATTTGAAGAAAAAAAATAATTTCTAAAATGTTATTTTTTTATTTGTTCATGATTTTTCAATGAAACCAAAAAATAGTGGCATAACAAACAAGACTGAACGGGAAAAAAAATCAGTTGTTTACATATTCAGTACTCAGTGTGCACTGGTCCCAGCTGATATCTCCCACAGGGATCCTCTCTTCTCTCCATGTTTCTTGGCACCAGTACATAGCTAGACTTGCTGTAAGTAGGCGCTTTATTTTATGAGTATTGGAGAGGTAACATATTGCTTACATCATATCACTATTTGCTCAAAGCTTGGTTTTTGAGTTCCAGTTTCATAGACTGTCTCCTGTTCCACAAAGCAATCTTAGCACTACGACTAGTAAAGTAATGTCAAAGTATACAAGTCAAGATCATCTTTGTGCTAAGACTGATTTGTGAAACAGGGCATATTATTGCATTATAAGAAGCATACTTGAAGTGAATGCTTCAGCTGTGATATAACAGAAGTCTGTTCACTGGTTGGCTTGTTTCCCTGTGTAATTGTCTGTGTACAGAGGCAAGGTCTGTGGTTGGAGCACACAGATTTTCTATAACCTGCATACCTTACAAGAGACTATATTTGAGATATAAAAATTGTAGCGTATGTGAATATATTACCCATATGGTCCAAGGCAGGTGATGATTAAGTGTCATTAAGTGATGACATCACACATTCTCAATGTAGCATTGTATGAAGAATGTTCACTTTCCAATGCAGCTCTCAATAGGAGAGCTACAGCTTATTGTGAAGCGGATAATACATGTATTTTAAGTGTATAATACAGATTTTAAAACATGATGTGATGTGAAACTTCAAAACAGAATCTCTACTTATAATCATCCTATAAATCAAAGACAATATTTTTTTCCATTGAGGAATAAGGAGTTAGCTATTGTGAGTATATTTTACAAACCCAAGGTCAGAATTCTAGTAAGATCCCTACTTCCCATGAAGACAAATCACAGATTATGTTTTCAACTGAGTGAGAAGAAAAGTAAGCTTTCTTGTCCCTCTGATTGACATGTGCTACATGCATGGCATTAGATCCGATATTTGTCATGGAGATGTCCCATTTATATACAATACTCTCATGTATACAGCCACTTTAATGGCTCACAAGGTGGTCTGAGCATTAGTCAAAGCACTCTGATGGCTGTGTGAATATGACTCACATATCAAATGGATTGAGCGTATCAACTGATCATCCGTGGAGCAGGTATCAAACATACCAAGTCCTGTTCAGCTTTGGCCCACTTGAAATCTTAGCAATCTTAGCACTATGACTGTCATAAGTCATAGTGCTAAGATCAATGAGCAAGTGGACCGTGTAGAAACAAATCACTGCTTAGGCTACTGCAACTCCTGTACTTAGACTTTCAATAGACCTATGGTAGACACACAATAGACTTCTGGTAGACACACAATAGACCTCTGGTAGACACAATAGACCTCTGGTAGACACACTATAGACCTCTGGTAGACACACAATAGACCTCTGGTAGACACACAATAGACCTCTGGTAGACACACAATAGACCTCTGGTAGACACAATAGACTTTTGGTAGACACACAATAGACTTCTGGTAGACACAATAGACCTCTGGTAGACACACAATAGACCTCTGGTAGACACACAATAGACCTCTGGTAGACACACAATAGACTTCTGGTAGACACACAATAGACCTCTGGTAGACACACAATAGACATCTGGTAGACACACAATAGACCTCTGGTAGACACACAATAGACTTCTAGTAGACACACAATAGACCTCTGGTAGACACACAATAGACTTCTGGTAGACACACAATAGACTTCTGGTAGACACACAATAGACATCTGGTAGACACACAATAGACTTCTGGTAGACACACAATAGACTTCTGGTAGACACAATAGACTTCTGGTAGACACACAATAGACATCTGGTAGACACACAATAGACTTCTGGTAGACATACAATAGACTTCTGGTAGAAACACAATAGACTTCTAGTAGACACACAATAGACCTCTGGTAGACACACAATAGACCTCTGGTAGACACACAATAGACTTCTGGTAGACACAATAGACATCTGGTAGACACACAATAGACTTCTGGTAGACATACAATAGACTTCTGGTAGAAACACAATAGACCTCTGGTAGACACACAATAGACTTCTGGTAGACGCACAATAGACCTCTGGTAGACACACAATATACCTCTGGTAGACACACAATAGACCTCTGATAGACACACAATAGACTTCTGGTAGACATACAATAGACTAGATTATAGTCACTGCAGGATGAGCTGTTTGTGTCACAGGTGACCTGAGGCCTGATCCAAAAAGTGATCTTAGTGCTAAGGTGATCAGAACTCCCATTCTTTAACCTAGACTTAAGACAGACGTAGTACTAAGACTGCTCTGTGGAACAGGAACAGGGCCTCATTTTCACAAAAGGATCCTAGTGTTAAGATTGTCTTAAGTCTCTTAAACATAAGGGATTCATGACAAATATGGCACCAAGATGGCTTTATGTGATGAGGACCTGATATCTCCAAAGGAGAGTATGCAACTCCTGACTTCTCCCATTGGACGATTGATAGGATTGACATATACTTGCCAGTATACATATATGTAGCTAGTTAACATAGCTAGTTTCTACCACCTTACACTCAGGTCAGTACCTTCCCAGGAAATAGTGTATTCATTCAATTTGGATTTCAAATTCTCAGAAATATATTTCTGTTTTTCTAAGTCAGTTCTGAGATAAACTTTAATTTCTTCCACCTTAATTTTTTTACACTTGGTAAATTCAATTTAAAAAACTATGCATCAAAATGAGCATTTCTGATTAAATGCAAGGTTTTATACTTACCTGACGCTACACCTATAGCATTGTGTAGCACTGTGTAGCGTCAGGTAAGGTAAAACATCATTGTTTTGATGGAACGTATAGGTTTGAATGAGGAACATTTTTGTTCAACTTCCAGTGTGTTATACCAATCAGTGGCTGACAACCAATAAACTAATACTGTACTCCTTTTCCTGATACTGCAACATGGATCCAGTATAACATGGCTTTAATAGGATGCTACCACTACTGTAACCAAAGAGTGACTCTTGAGAATGGACCATTACTTGTAGTTTTCATGAATATATATATTTAGATTTCCAAAATATGCTTTTACTAGTAAATCTCAAACAGAGTAATTAAACAGTTCATTTGCAATTTTTTGAAACTTTAAACATTAATTTGATTTGAAAGGTAATGACCTTTTGGGTAAAAGATCATGACACGATATTTTCAAGAAATGGTTATTTATATTCTTTCAAATGTACAAACCATTTCACATTCAAGAATCATATCAACTCAAAGTGTAAAATATGCCAGTTCATTCATAGACTGTTTTTTATTTTCAGATTTCTTATCATAAACATGTTGTTTTACTGTTGACAAGATAAAAATTTATTTAACATTTGTTCGCAGTTTGTGTTCTGACAATACTAAAACTTTGTATTTACAAACAAATTTTTGAAACTTACAGGTGCTATGACAAGGATTTCTAACTCACGTATGTATATATCTGGTGCTATTTGTTTGAGAATGACCTCACTGGAAGGTCCTCCACTGTTCAAGTTATGTAGGAATGTAGGTATTTTGTAGTTAATAAAATCTACCAAACGCTTCTTTGGCTTTGTTTTATTCAACAACAATGTTTTGTTATTTTAACCACTTAGTTCCACTTAAGTCTTTCACAGATGGAGACATGGGTGGCCCAGTCGTCTAAACTCTGAAGAGTCCCATATGCCAGGAACCTATGATCGTGGTTTTGAATCATGGTTTGTCCTGAACATTTCAGCACCATACCATACCTGTCTTGTGGGTTTTACCAAAGTGGCAAATGTATCACTTCTGGCTTTCCTCCAACATTAAGCTGACACACCGTGACATAACTGTTAAAAGCAGTGTTAAACCCAACTCACTCACTCTTTCATAGGCATCTAGAAGTTGGTTGAACATGAAGCATGAGAGTGAATTTAATGCCGATGGGTATCTCTATTTGTTGTTGAACAGGGTTTTTAACGCGAAAATCTAAAGCAATCCAGTTGTATGACTTTTGAGAAAAAATGTTAAAGAAAAGGAAAATCTTGTGAAAAGGGCCTTTTTTAGCAGGTAAGGAGCAAATAGCCATATAAGACTATCAGATTTCTTCTGTTTTCCAACATGTTTGTGAAGCCAGTCCCATTGGTCTTGTAGGTTATCATATAATGTCCATATACTTTGGTCGACAGTCTAGGTTACTTTTCTGATCTGTAAACCAATTCTTTAAGAAATATTGCCACCTCTGTAATGTGATCCATATTCACACAAATATAGACGGCCTCCGTGGTCTAGTGCATAGAGTGTCTGCCCAGAGAGTGGAGGGTTGGTGGTTTGATCCCCGGCTGCATTACAAGGGCTAAAACAAGGACTGGTCGGCTCAGAGTCAGTATACTGTCTTACTGGGGTATCCGTGTTACACTATGGTATCTTAATGGGCTATTAAACCAGCATAAGTCAGGACCAGTTCAGATAGCCACACGCACATGCATGAATGAATGTCACCCTATAAGTGCAAAAATCTTGAACATGACGTAAATCCTCACCTCACCTCAACTCACCCAAATATAAACTATAAGAACATGATCCAACTAATCTCCAAAGCTATTCAATGGAGTAATTTTTTTTAACTTTTAGAGCTCTTAAGTAATTGTAGCTGCTTATTTAGGGGACGCAGGATGAACTTATTAATTAATCTTATCACAATAAATGTCACTATGTGCGAAATGAATATACCTGTATTTGACACATCATTCCGAGATCCTCGCCTTGAGTAATGAGGAGGATGCAATTAAAAAAGACAGACTATTGGGAAGACCGAGCATATTGGTTTCAAGTGGGATAATTACAACTTGTCAAGTGACTCTCTGTGATATTACATGAATTACCCCATTGCCATGTCCATTCAAATAGGAGATTATATTCTTGAGAAGCACATAAATATTTCAACTAAACAACAAATTAATTGATTTTCTTATCATTTCTTACATGTCAGAGAGAAGACATTTTATATTTGTCATTCTGATCAAGTCCATTCTTGCCATGCCATCTTGTGGAAGACCAGTGCATTAATTACAGCCCTCGACCACTTTCAATTGACATTTTGTGTGTGGAACACAACAGAGGCAAAATGTCCTCAGTCATTCGCAGGGTAAAATGATTAAAAGCAGCAACATCTGATGCCTTTGCATCCCAATATTACAGCATCACATCTGCACCATACATAAGATGATGCCATGCTCACAAAAACACAAGCAAGCCACACGTATCAGTAAGTGACACATACACACTGAAAGCATGGTGTTGCCACAATGGCTGCAATGTGAAGAACAAGTGAAGCTTCACATAAAGACTCCACTATATATAATCCCTATGTCCATCTTACAGTTTCTAATGTAACTGATTTTGAACTGTGGTAACCAACACCCTGGACAAGACATCGCCATGAGGCTCAAGTAATGAGGTTGTTTAGCAAGTAAAGAGGTTGCTGAGCAAGTGATGAGGTTGTTAAGCAAGTAATGAGGTTGTTCAGGTAGTAATGAGGTTGTTTAGCAAGTAAAGAGGTTGTTTAGCAAGTAAAGAGGTTGCTGAGCAAGTAATGAGGTTGTTTAGCAAGTAATGAGGTTGTTCAGGTAGTAATGAGGTTGCTGTGCAAGTAATGAGGTTGTTTAGCAAGTAAAGAGGTTGCTGAGCAAGTAATGAGGTTGTTTAGCAAGTAATGAGGTTGTTCAGCAAGTAATGAGGTTGCTGAGCATGTAATGAGGTTGTTCAGCAAGTAATGAGGTTGTTCAGCAAGTAATGAGGTTGCTGTGCAAGTAATGAGGTTGTTCAGCAAGTAATGAGGTTGCTATGCAAGTAATGAGGTTGCTGTGCAAGTAATGAGGTTGTTCAGCAAGTAATGAGGGTGTTCAGCAAGTAATGAGGTTGTTCAGCAAGTAATGAGGTTGATTTGCAAGTAATGAGATTGTGTCATAAGTAAAGCGGTTGCTTTGCAAGTAATGAGGTTGCTGTGCAAGTTATAAGGTTGTTCAGCAAGTAATGAGGTTGCTGTGCAAGTAATGAGGTTGTTCAGCAAGTAATGAGGTTGCTATGCAAGTAATGAGGTTGTTCAGCAAGTAATAAGGTTGCTATGCAAGTAATGAGGTTGTTCAGCAAGTAACGAGGTTGCTATGCAAGTAATGAGGTTGTTCAGCAAGCAATTAGGTTGATGTGCAAGTAATGAGGTTGCTGAGCAAGAAATGAGGTTGCTATGAAAGTAATGAGGTTGTTCAGCAAGTAATGAGGTTGCTATGCAAGTAATGAGGTTGTTGTGCAAGTAAATAGGTTGCTGAGCAAGCAATGAGGTTGTGGAGCATGTATTAAATGCATCATTAAATGGTGTGCTGCAAGAGGCAGCATACTTGCATATTTCTGAATGTTGAATCATTAAGTATGCATTGCAGGAGTGAAGCTATGTGAACAAAATCTACAGATAATAATTTTTTCAGTTTCACGATAAAATTGTGTTTACATTACATGCATTTTTACAGGGTTTTACTGGATGCCAAATATTGGCTGTTTGCATGTTACATATGACTGACATGCCTATTCTGGTAAGAAATACACACAAAGGTCCAACATTGAAAAACTCCATCTCTAATAGGCTGAAGGCCTCCAAGCATGTGCAATGATATTACATTAGTGAAAATATTTTAAATGAGGCGATGCTCGTCACCCGTGTGGAACCCCTACATTCATGACGTGGACCCCAAATATTATTACTGAGCGTGAAATCCCATATGTATGTTAATTTACGTTCAAGTGTGGGAGTTACGGAGGTCCCAGCTTTGTCGCTTTGCAGTTATTTCAGCAGTGAGTAACTGAGGGAGTAGAGTTTTAATCTATTAACCATATTTCACGTAATAAGCGCCCCCCTCTAATTAGCGCCCACGGCGATATTTGCCAATATATTGGCTAGTGAACTATCCCAATTAGCACCCTTCCAATTGATCAATGTACACAAGACTTATTTATTTGTGTATAATACCCACTTGTGTGTAATATGCACCCTTAATTATAGGCAATTAGTGAGTGAGTGAGTGAGTTGGGTTTAACGCCGTTTTTAACAGTATTCCAGTTATATCACAGCATTTTAGCTTAATGTGGGAGGAAAGCCCGAAGTGATGCAGGTCTCAGAGGTTTACCACTTTGGTGAAACACACGAGCACGGGCATGGTGCTGACAAACCTAGAAACATTATCGGGGCAAAACCAGGATTTCGAACCCACAATCATAGGTTTCTGGCGTGCCCAAGGGATGCAACTCTGCACAGCGAATTGCGGCGCCTTAGACGACTGGGCCACCAATTAAATTCTGGAAAAATATATCTGTCGTGTATAGTACACACAGACTTTTCTTTTTTATCATTGCAGGCTGTCAGCATAAACAACAAAATTTACAATCTTTCAGCTCTTTCACCAAAATTATATTCTAATAAGAGCCCCCTATTTCTAATTTTGAGAGCGCCCTGGGTGCTTATTACATCGAATATGGTACATTAATGTGATTACTGGTTTCACACAACTTGTACATAGGGATTTGAACATGGAACTTCACAAGGTGAGTGAACACAGAGCCCATGGTGTACAAGCCCATTGAGCTCCTTATTTCCTGTACTCTCTCTAGGACACATGTAAACCCATCGTATATATACTACAGTCCATCCTGCACTTTTAACAGAGGCAGCATTTACAGTTTCCCACATGCTGAAAAACCAAAACAATTTTCCACTAATTAGAATAAAAGAATATTGAGCTGGACAATGACAACAAAATTCAACCGACCCAAGTGACTGGTTACGCAAAAAAGAAAAATCTATCGGAAAACAAATCGTGGCCTAATGATACAGTGAAATCTGTCCGAACTGGATCTTTTCTATTTTATGGTTGCAGTATTTCTAGATTAACTTATCATCCAATTATGTCTGTATCACTTCATACACTCCAGATTCTAGATTTCATCCGGAACACAAAACATCAATTCATCATGTTACGGTCACTCTCTAATCCAGATCCAAGTGTGAAACCTGATCCATCAGAAGCCCTTGTTAAATCGGCCACATGAGAAGAAAAAGAACATTTCAACCATGCTTTTGGGCCAACTGATTCAATTCAGACACTGTTTACAACATAATTGGTGCTACTGAGAATGGTCTCAAAAGAAACACAATTTGATGACAGAATAAACATGTCACCTAAAACTACAAGGGACATTCTTCACCCTTCTGGTAGACACATGGATGAGGTGAGGTGAGATGAGGTGAATGTCCCGGGTTTTTTTGCGGGTGTAAGTGTGGTAGGGTGAGTGGGTGTGGGTGTGGCTGCTTGTACTAGTCCAGACGAATGTCAGTTTTATAGTGCTACCCCACTGAGATACCATGACGTAGTTTAACATAAATACCCCAGAGTAGACTGACTCAGAGCTGACCAGTCCTTGTTTTAGCCCTTTAAATGCCAAGCGCCAAGCAGGTACCATAATTTAACATGTTTTGGTATGACGTTGCCCGGGATCCAACCACCGATTTTCCCCTCTCCAGGGAGACGGTCT